CATCTCGTGGAAAATCTGTCTAAGGTCCAGACACCACAAAACGAAAACCTATGTTGGAGCTATCAGCACCCCGGCAACAGTAGCAGTCGTGCACCAGTCGAAGAAGAAGCAACGTCAACGGGCACTATTTGAGTACTATTTAAATTAAGGAAGATTTATTCTCACGGGCATGAACCGACAGCTCGTAAAATCAGCTACTGTAGTTCCAGTTCTCCTGGGAGATGCCCGATTATGAGTGTGATCAATAGGGAGGATCAATGGTCAGGACATGGAAATGCTCCTAAAAGCCGGGGCGACGCTAACGGTGCTAAGGCGAGACATCCTCGCCAAGCAAGAGACGTTTCGCCTCGAACACTGAAAGAAGGTAGACATGGAATTGGACGGTGCATTTCATCTTCCTATTGTAAATCTTCGACAGTCTTCACCGTGGTGCTACGGTCCCAGCTGCCAGAAGACGTGAAGCACGTTCCGCTCGCCGACTTTCAGCAGTTTGCCTCAGTTTCCTTAGTGGCTGCGCAACTCTTAGTGATTCGGAGGACAAGTGAGTTGGCATAACGCCTTATAACGACAATACCATGAGGGACATGTAACTGAGTTTAACGAGAGACCTGATCACTTTCCGCAACCTCATTGTTATCCGGGCTTGGAACACAACATTGGTGTTGAAGTGAAATAGAAAAAACAAAGCAAAAAACACTGACAAACGAGCCAGAAAAAATTCAGACAGAATTATCATAATCGTACTACGAGAGTTACCTAAAACCTAAAAGATTCAGACTGCCTCAAATGTTTTCATTTTGCTAGCGTTCCTTTTCTTGCCCGATTTCATCGCAGACAACGCTGAGTACCGTACAGCATTCCAACTGGTTCAAATGGATGTATGCCCACTGTCACCCTTTCTGCGGTCTCCTGCCATTAGGCTTTGCGTTCACTATCCTCAACGCCAGGTGACTATCGTCCATTCATTGGCATCGGCGCCACCATCTTAAGCTCTTTGTTTGCAGCCAGTGAGTCAGTTCAATTGAATATTCTAATCCTTGTCATTTCTAAAACGGTCAGATCACTCCACTCATAACTTTGATCATAAAATCTTCATTTTTGTCTTTCCGGGTTGCTGTTTTAGCTTTGTCAAGTGCTGCCGTTTCCAAGCCACAGTGCAAGATGTTCAGAATATACATCCTGCATATCCGCAATTTTAGCTATTGCCAACATCTTTGTCCTTCCGAGTTTGAATGACGTGTTGCTGGCTGCCAATGCCATCGCAAATGGCCTCTTAACTTCGCTTATCACTCCTCTGTCTGCAGCTGGAGCCATTAAGCAAATATTTCGGTATTTTTTCCAGAACCCTTCACATCCAGTTTTGAAACTTATGCACGGCTTCCTTCGCCCCTTTTCCGTTCCAGTTGCCCTGACTTTATTATTACTACTGCTTCTTTGTATGTGTTTAAAGCGCTGTCCACCGATATATCGCCTATATAATTAATAGTATGTTTGAATCGTGCACCAATTGTGACCAGATATGTTTCGGATACTTCTGCACATTAACGCTTGACCACTTCAAACTTATCGGTAGATTTTTGGCTGTTAATAAAGTACCGCAACTTGGCTTTAACTGTAGCCATCAACATTTGATGATCGCTGCCGCATTCAACAATTCTGTGCACCACCTGAATTCTTCTAGGCATGTCAATGTCTTATGGCGATGGGAACGTGGTCAGTGTGGCTTGCCGTTGATGGATCAGGGGAGTGCTATGTGATTTAATGCAATGATTCGTGAAGAAGTCATGCGCTGCCAATGAGTAGATCGTGCATCTTGCACACCGTCTGATCCTAGGTATTTACGCAGCTCATTCTTTGCCCCAACTATCGCATCGAAATCACTTAGAACAATCAACGTATCATGTGATAGGCCCTGCTGCAACAGCCCACCCAGAGTGTCATGATATTCTTCCTATGCCACTACCTCTGCCTCCTCCACATTGAGTTAAGCCTCGTCGTAATGATCCGGTCAGATGCCACCGTCCAGCGCACAAGGGCTCTCCTCCTACATTTCGATTTACTGTCAGTGCCACGTCATCTGTGTCAGCAGCGCTTTCTGTTATATTCCTTGTGTAATATAGGCTTAGTTTCCAACCATCACAACGCTTGATTTAAACCAGTGCGTCTCTTGTACTCTCGGAGTGAACCACCTTATTTTTCATGTGCGGCATCGTTCTTAAATGTTTATGGCGCTTGTGAAAGTAGCGCAGATTTCTATTTGAAAATTCTTATTTTCAGCGGCATTGAAATCAGACCTACAGCCGTAGTCGAACCTCTGTGAAAAGTACACCGTTTAGCAATTGAATTGCGATCGCGTTGAGGTCCCATGCTGTGCCTCTACCGTAGGAAATAGTTAGAACAATTGAAAGTGAGAAACTGACTTTTCTCTGTCGTGTCCTACGGTTACAACGACCACTACGTTTCACTTTTTGCCAATTCATTCGTAATTGCTTTTCGCGTCACTAGGAAATACGGTCTGAAGCAGCTGGTCGGAAGTTTGTCAAAAAACTTCAGTACTATATGACGACTGACGACTGAACTGAATCAAGGTTGCATTGTATCGGAAGCTGATGAATGGAAGCATTTCAGCTGCGAAGGTCATCGCCTTTTAGCCGCATCTTCCATTGCGTGTGCTTGCTATGAAGTGAGGTTGTAACTCGTCACACACTAGTACCTTCCCCAACCAACGTGTCACTTTTCGCCTGTTATATGACTACAGCAACAACAACAGGGGTTACACGTTCTGCTGATTATTACAGTGGGCAGTCAGCTGTCACGTGTGTCAGGGCGAACTGCAGGCCTATGAGACATTCGCGTCTGACAGCATGGTCGTGCCTCTTGTTCATTCTGGTACGACCATGCTCAAACACCATCCAGTGCCTATTGTTCGCAAGTCAACGACCTGCCACTCGTCCTTCGGTTAGTTGCACGTAAGCATGGTAGGATAAATTCCTTGCTCAAGGAAATTAGCGGTTAAGAGATAATGATCTACTTTTTTGGAAGTCTAAGCCGGTACCTCCCGAGCTTTGCGCCGTTGTACCACGGTGTCCCGGCGATGTTGTTGCTTGTTACTCTAATTTTGGATGTAATAAATTCAACCGCTCTGCTTGCACCAGATTAATGTTGTCTAATGAACAGTAGGCTGAGGTTATCTTAACTATTATTGGCAAATCTAGGTACGAATCTGATTCATAGTGAATCGGCATGATGTTAAGTAGAGACAGTTCAGACGACATGTGCATCTTTAATGTGTATCTGGATTTCGTTACTACCATGAACGTAACATCCTTCGAAGAATTGGAAATTTTTCTTCACCATACATAATTTGTATAAAAGTGCATACGGATCTTGGCATATTTGCAGGTGTCCGAACATGCCTTCATTCGGCCCTGCCTAGTGGTTCGGTTTTTGCATCCATGGTGCTCAAATACCATGGAGCCGTGGCCTGCTTAAATGGTCTCTAGACCACTAGAAGCAACGGGACGGTACTTACGCCGCTTCAACCCGATTTTAAAAAACTAAAATGGATTTATCTTGACTTATATTCATTTTTTCTGTATATGTGAATGTTACTGGCATCGTTTAATGAAAGGAATCATCTGTGAAGCTAAAGCATAAGAATGCCCTCGTTTGAACTGTCTCCTCCTCTGTGGTTATTGTCTTCATCGACGAGCACCGCTGCGCCAACCAGAAAAATGCCCTCAGGTCAACCCGTTGGCGAAGGATAGGCTGGCGTCGTGCTAGTTTTGTAAGACCCACGTGCTTGCTGGGTTGGGTAGCCGCTCGTATGACGTTGCGGGATGCGGACCACCTTAACTTGTTTCGACGGAGAAATATCAAGAAACGATACGCAGAGGTGTTACGTTCAGTCTCGCGACACGATCACAATCTCACACTCGTATCAGTCCTGTGATATTGCCAGTGGTAGGAAGCTGAGTACCCTGCAACGCATTGATACTACGAATGAGGTCGTAACTCTTAATTCTGAGGAGTTGTCTCTAATAACGCATTCGGAAGGTCTGGACCTTGTTGATGTCAGGCTGAAACAGAATTCATGTCTCTTCGCGAAAGTTTTGAACAAAAATATGGCATTTAACCATCAGTGTATCAAAGAAAATTTATAATCAGTCGTGTATTTGACTGACCAGAGTATCCAATTGCTTCATGAACAAGCCATTTATTATCAATAGTTTCTGTTGTGATTATCACCTTGAGCCGTTTGCATAAGCAGCATGTTTTTGTCCTGTGATATCCCTTCAATTCCCACCTTCTGAACAGTTGTGTGATAAGATATCGTTAACTGCATTATAGAAGGAAACCCTCCTCTAAAATGCACATCCGCCTCTGCCTAATTCCTTCTTGTTGCATGGTGGCCTCCTGGTCGCCTTCTGTCGTTTCTCGGCTATCACACGAAAAGCTCAAGAACTGCAGTAAATCGTTCATGTTGAACGAGTATATACAACAGGGCCAACCTTCTTTTCTTAATCTCCATACATGCCCTCTCAACTGCTTCATCTGAATCTTCGTTAGCTGACAATTTCAGACTTCATGGTAGGTTCGACGCTACCACAGCCTCTCAGAAGTATCCGTTCGTCGTGCGTCATCCTTTGATACAATCCCGGTCGTTCGCTGTCTATTCTCTCAAACGTGAGTACTGATGGTGGCTTAAGGGAAACATGACTTTCACGGAGTGCAATGCTTTTCAAGACACATTTTGTCCCTCATTTTGTGGACTAAAATATCGGTGTTTTTTGATCACTCTATTTACAGTCTGCATTTCAGACCTACAAAATGAAATCCCGTAAAGGTGTGATAGTAGTGTCGTTTGGAACGACGCCAAACGCCGTTCAGATCCCAAAGAGCGTCGTCAGCACGTTCAGGTCGATTTTTGCCGACCTAAACCAGTACAACGT